CAAACTCCTAAAATTAACTCACAACACACCATGCATGTAAATACTGATTTTTTTTTTATTTGAAAAAGAGCAACTTTTACCCAAAATAAGGCAAAGGAGGTAGGCAGATTGAGTTGCTCATGGAATCTCAGGTTCACTTAGAGATCTGTGTTTCTGCCATCGGCTACCTGTGTCTGCAACTGAATAATAGAACCTTCAGTCCTAAGGGGGGTTCGGCTGTGCTTAAAAGCAGAGGCAAAGATCTAAAGACTAGCTAGAAGAAGAAATCCAACGATTTCCTGCTTCCTAGCTAATCCAAATCTCCCGGCACAGCAGAACAGCTGATGGTTGGGGGAAAAAAAGGAAAAATAGCAACTTAGCAGGCAAGTTTGCTGGGTAAGGACTGAGTGGGCGGGGAGGGTTCCCGCGGTCTATGCGGACAGCGCAGCCTTGTGTTCCCCTGTAGCCCTGATTAATCCTTTGGGGGTGCTCTTGGTGGGGGGGGACATTTCTCTGCAGACCACCAAAGCTTTTTCCGCGGCCTACCGGTTGGCAACCACTGATTTAGGGGACTGGAGGCTAAAACATACGATGGACGGTTGCAGGAACTGGGCCTGGCTAGTGTAGGGGAGAGAAGGACCAGGGGAGACAGTATCTCAGGGGCTGCACCAGAGAGGAGGAGGGGGGAGGTCAAGCTATTTTCCAAAAGCACCTGAAGGCAGGACAAGAAGAAACAGGTGGAAGATCATTCAAGAAAGATCCAACCTGGATTTCCTGACAGGGAGAATAATTAACCCGTGGAACTGCTGGACTCCAGAAGTTGTGGGAGCTTCATCCCTGGAGGCTTTCAAGAAGAGGCTGGACAGACCCGTGTCTGGAAGGGTCTGGGGTCTCCTGCTTCAATCGGGGGGTTGGACTAGAAGGCCTCAGAGGCCCCTTCCGACTCTGTTTATTCCTTGCAGGGGCCGTGGACACCTTCACCCTGATCCACCACGACCTGGAAATCTCCACCAACCCGGCCCAGTACGCCATGATCCTCGACATTGTCAACAACCTCCTGCTGCACGTGGAGCCCAAGCGAAAGGTGCCTGGAGGGTGGTGGGGGGAGTGTGTGTGTGTGTGTGTGTGTGTGTGTGTGTCCAAGGGGAAGTTGCTGTTGGGAGGTTCCTGAGAACCTTGTTTGCAAGCAGCCATTTTCCGCCACGGCTTGCCTGGGATGGTTCGTGGATGGGGAGGGTGGGCCCGTCCCTGCCACACGGGTGGGATTCAACAATCCCAGCAACCGGTTCGCTGCCCAGTTGCTGGGTGGGTGTGGGTGTGGCCGTGGTGGGCGGGGCCCAGCAGAACTTCCAGGTGGGCTGTTTTTTGCCTTCCCCAGAGTCAGGAGGCTTCCCCCGGACTCTGGAGGCCCTCTGGAAGCTGGGAATAGGCCCATTTCCCCCCCTCCCAGAGCCTCCACCTGGACCCTCCCTCCAATATGGGCCACTTGGAGACTCCGGGGAGGGGAGGGGAGGGGTGGGCGGGGCCAGCTGGACGGTCCGACTACCAGCTTGTCAAACCGGATGCAAATTTAACCTCCGGTTCACCTGAACCGGTAGAGTCCCACCCCTGCCCTGCCCGATCCCCAGAGCCCCTCCCTTTTGGGGCCAAAGCCCAGAGCCCCCCCCCCCTCCAAGGTGCCTGAAAGGAGCCCCGGTTGGGCTTGCTTGGAGCCAGGGACGGACACGGCAATCCCACCTTCAGGATCCAAGCGGCACAGAACGCTGGGTCTGGTAGTCAGACCAGCGGCTGAAGGAGGGATGGGCCCAGTAGGGAGGGGTCTAGGACAACCCCCCCCCCACCGCCAGCTCTCCGCGGCCAACTCACCGCAGGAGAATTTAAGAAGTCAGTTTAATTATTTAAAATAAAAATTATTTTAATCCTCGTCATTCAAGTTTCATTCCGTCCCTCTTTCGGCGCCCCTTCTTTAAGGATTTTGAGCCTTGGTGGCACACTGGTCAGAGTGCAGTACTGCAGACTATTTCTGCTGCCTGCAATTTGGCAGTTCGAATCCCGCCAGGCTCCAGGTTGACTCAGCCTTCCGTCCTTCCAAGGTCAATAAAAGAGGACCCAGATTGTTGGGGGGACCAGAGGCTGAACCTGTAAACCGCTTAGAGAGGGCTGGAAAGCACCATGAAGCGGCAGAGAAGTCTTAAAAGGGCTATTGCTATTCTATTCCAGCATTGTTGATGCTAGTTGTAGCTCTTGTCCTTGTGGCGAGTTGGCAGCGGCGCGACCAATTGTCACAGACCCCTCATCGTGGTCAACTCTCTGCGGTCCAACCCGCCGTGGGACAAGAGTTACACTAATCGCGAGGAAATGTTGGGTTGAAATGTGAATGGCCAAAGAAAATTAAAATCAGTTTTAAAATGATTTCAAGCAAATTAAATTGAACGGTTCAATTTGTCCCCTGGTGAGTTGTAAGCGGCGAGTTGTCCCGTTCCGGGGGTGGGGGGGGTGGCGGTGGGGTGTGAGTATTAAAAGGCATTCCAGCTTAGACTCCAGTCGTGGGAGGAAATTGAGGGGAAAGTCAGGGGTCTCTTTACCGGCCGTTTCCCGAGACAAGGCAAGAGAGTCGGGTGAAATACTTGTAATATCAGCAATAAAAGTCCACAAGTCTTAAAGTTGCCAAGCTTGGAGACCTCTGGGGTGATCAAGCCCATTAACGTTCATGTTGTTAAACCCATCAACAATAACGTTGTACCTTATCGGTACGACAGTTACGTGTTGCTTCCAATCCTCCTTAGTCGTTTCGGTTCCAACCTTCCTCCACCTTTATTTTTTTTGCAGCCACAGATAAAACTTGTCCCAAGTATCATTTAATATTCCGAATTCCCCCTTACTTTTCATTTCTAAAGTTAGCCTGTCACTGCAGTGGCCAACTTATGGCCACGCCTGCCGGAGACGGCACGCAGAGCCCGCCCTGTGGGCACACGAGCCGTCACCCCGGCTCAGCTCTTCCGTGCATGCACGCACACGCACCTCCCACCCGCTAGCTGGTCTTTGGGTCTCTGCTGCGCATTCGGGGTGGAGCATGCATACACATGCACAGGGGACGTCGCGCGTGCATGCGGGGGGGGACACGCGTATGTGCCTTGCATTATGGGGATGCCCATGTACGTCCTTTGGGCACACGGTGCCAAAAAAGGTTAGAAATCAGTGGTCGATCACGGGGGTCCCCAACCACCGGTCCCCGGACCGGTACCGGTCCGTGGAACAATTTCTACCGGGCCGCCGGTTTGCTGGGCACCGCCATCTTGTTTTGATGAAAAAGTGCTTCCGGTGAGCTTTTCCGGGTAGAAAGCGGCGTTTGGGTGCTGAAGGAATCCTCGCGCCTTAGTTTCATCGAGGGGGGGGCGGCTTCGAACAAAACTAAGGCGCGAGGATTCTTTCAGCACGCATGGCAAGGCGAGCCGAGCAGCCGTCCCGAAGCCGTCGCGAAGCCCATCGACGCAGGTACAAAGGAGGAGTTGAAGGTGGCGGGGAGAAGCGGGGGACGGCTGGCTGGCCGGTCGCTCGGCTTGCCTTGCCATGCGCGCTGATGCCGGTACCGGGCCGCGGATGATTTTGTGATGCCGGTACCGGGCCGTGGCACAAAAAAGGTTGGGGACCACTGGTCTATCAGGTTCTGCACACATCATTATTTTCCTTATTGCCTCTCCTTTCGGGGGCGTATTCTGATTTTTCCAGTATTGTGCGTCAACCATTCTTGCCGCGGTCCATGCGTGCATTATTAAGGGCGTTGTACCTGTTGCTAGTATTTTTTTTTCCTTCTCCACCCACCCCCCACCTCCCCCCCAGGAGCACAGTGAGAAGAAGCAACGGGTCCGTTTCCAGCTGGAGATCTCCAGCAACCCGGAGGAGCAGCGTAGTAGCATCCTCCACCTGCAGGAGGCCGTCCGGCAGCACGTAGCCCAGATCCGGCTGCTGGAGAAGCAGATGTACTCGGTCATGAAGGTGGGGAGGGGGTTGTGATCCAGGGATGGGGGAGGGGAGGGGGCTTCTTGGGGAGCCCTATGGGTGACCCCACCCCTCCCGCCTTCTCTCCCCAGTCCCTGCAGGATGACGGGCGGAACGAGTCGCTGCTGGAGCACAACCAGAAACTGCAGCAGCAGCTGAGCCAGGAGAAGGCCACCCTGCAGCAGGAGAGTGAGGACCTCAACATCCTGATCAGGTGAGGGGAGCTTTCGGGAGGGGGAGGGGAGGGGAAGGGGGGTTCCGGACAAGGGGAGGCCTGGCTGCTGCTTCTGCTACCCGAGGACAGCCCGCAAGGGAGCCCACCTGTTGAGGTAATTCCCCGTTAGGAGAATGAGCGCGTACAGGGAGATGTATTTGAGAGTAGTGTTTGAATAATACACAGACAGCACACAGATACATTGTACAGGAAATGTAGGTTTTTACTTCCAGAAACGTTAAGCAAAGTCCAAAATAAGCAGTCCAAGGTCATTCAGAGGTAAAATCAGTCAGTTTTCATTCAGGGATAATCCAAATATCAAAGTCCAGTGTCAAAAAACAGTTCAGTGTCAGACTTACGTTAAATCCAGTAATATCAGTCAATTAGAAGAAATGCAGGAATGGCAATACTTTCCAACAGAAGGAAACAGAGATACTCAGACACACTCTCTTCTGAGACTAAGACTAAGACAACCCAGGTTTCTGGCTCCATCTTATGGAAACCACACCTCATTACAGTTTTGCATTTTCTTAAAGTTACAGTTTTAAAATGTTTATCCTGGTTTATATATTTCTAACCCGAATACCTGTTAGGTGACTCATATTCCTAACACCACCCACCCAACAGGGCCTCGGGGCTCTGGAGATGGACGTTGGACTATATTGGGCTGTCACACCCAATGGGGTAGGATGCACACACAGGTGGACTTTAGAGAGAAGGAATGAATTCCTTTAATGGGCCAAGTGTGGTTGGACCCACAAGGAATTTTGTCTTGGGTGCAAATGCTCTCAGTGCGCATAAAAGAAAAGAGACCTTCGTCATCAGGTCCAACACTTCATAATAGTCATAGGGTACAAATAAGCAATCAAATCATACTAGGAAACAGTCCGTATAAATCGTAAGGATAGGGACCTTGGAGGTCGTCTAGTCCAGCCCCCTGCTCAACAGGAGAACTGTCTGGGCTCTGTGATGGGGCATTTACAACTTCTGGAAGCAAGCAGTTCCACTGGTTAATTTTCCGAGCTGTTTGGAAGTTTCTTCTTAATTCCAGGTTGCTTCTCTCCTGGATTAATTTTCATAGGTTGCTTGTCCTGCCTTCAGGTGCTCTTTAATTAAACAGTCGGATTC